AGGTTGATGATGAGCAAGGACCATGGCTCAGGGAGTAGGGCCAGCAACTTGGTCTTCTTTTGGAGCTCACTATAGTTCAAATCCGCTCCCTCAAGCCGCGTCAACAAGTCGAAGAATTTCTGCACCCCTTCTTCAACCGCTTCATCCTCTTCAATTCGTAGTGTCGTCATTTGCCGTTCCAACACCACAGCTACCGCCGCTGTTGCAGGAGCGTGTACACTCTTGAGAGCAGCCCATGCCTTTGGTCCCTTCTCTGGTTCACGCTGGAAAGGCTTGATGTGACGGATTTGGCTGCTCCCCAACGCTTGCCCAAGTAGGAGGTAGCCTTGAACGCTCTTCCGCACCCACGGGCTATTCTCCGGGTCGTTCTCGGGACGCTTCTCCGTTCCTTCCATTACCTCCAGCAGGTCATAGTGGTAAAAAATGTTCTCCATTCTGAAGGACCACTTAGCAAAGTTGTCACCATTGAACTTGTCAAGGCCAAACACTCTAGGCTCATCCCTAGATGGTCCAACACTTGGTTGCACAGGCGCCATGGCTGAATCACGGGGTTGGCCTTGAGCTTGGGCTTCTCCTCTGCCACCAGCACCTTTGCCACCCCTTTCCTCAGGTCCAGCCATTGTCGAAACTGCTCCAAGGGGCTCTGATACCACTTGTTATAGTCACAGTAGGCTCCAATGTGCCTAAAACGAAAGATAGAGTGCACAGCCGGATTTCTGCACAGCGGCTTCAAACGTTTTTAGCGTTCTAGTCACAACTTCAAATGACCTGATTCAACTTGGATCTCGAGCGTCTGAACGTCGCCTACAATAGGCAATTTAGATCGCACAATTTGACCAAGTATTGACGACACAGCGTTGGTTTGAACGAACAGCACTATGGCAGCCACTATAGTCTTAGAAGACAAAATAGGAAGAGATATGAAGAGTTACGAGTTGGGAATGACTCCCAGCTCCTACAAACCCCAAGAGCCGAGGTACAGTGATGTGGAACAGTGCCACACTGTCCCGAACCACGAAGGGTCTCGAAACTACCCTTCACTAGGGCCTACACCAAGTGAAATGTTACACTACACAAAGTAATGTAACTATCTTCAATATCTTGAGGTGCACCCTTTTGGCTAGCTTCGAAATCACTTGAGGCTTGACACCAAGGCTCGGGCTCTTCATCACAAACTCATCCTTGAGTTCTTGATGGGTCTTCTACACACACCTGCGACACGCCGAACGTTCGACACAGGACAAAATAGAAACCGCGCACGACAAAATAGAAACCGCGTGCGAGACACAAACGACCGCGTAACACGCGTCTAGCGATAACTCGCTATTGACTCGACACACACACTCGACATCATGACTCAACATTAACACACAATTATAAGCAGGAAATATATATTATCCCATGCCCTCATACCATTCCATACACACACACATGCACGCACACGGACAACAAGCCGAGTGCAAACTGTAGGGTTGCACCAACAAGAGCACGCCCCAGACCCGAAACATCGACGCATCGCCAACCTCTCCCATCCAATGGAGTGTGCGCGAGGTTTTGGCAAAGAAACATGGGGCCAGAGGTTGAGCTGATGGGCGGCGTATCGGACCGCAGATGACCACATAAAATGGGGAGCAGCCGCATGGATCATGGAGGTACGAGCAACCTCTATGATCAAGCCAATGCGACGCTCAGCAATCCCATTTTGCTGAGGAGAGGTTAGAAGTGTGAACGACTGGTGGATGCCCTCGTCTCGACAGAACTCTGCAAGGAGGCTAGAAGAGAACTCACCGCCCGTGTCTGAATGGAAATGCAGGAATGGCAAGTCCCGCAGAAACCACTCGCGCAGCTGGCAACGAGTAGCACGGATCCAGGGGATCAAAACACTGCTGACGTCAGCCTTGCGCCGCAAGGGGAAGACAATGGTGTAACGTGTGTAGTCGTCAACAACCAGCAGAAAGCAGCGCTCTGGTCCGTTCCACCGACGGGGGCCGGGCCCCAAACGTCCATGTGGAGAGTCTGCAGAGGAGCAGTGGTCGGGGGAAACTCGGAGGAGTGAGGAGCGGCGCGCTGCCGCCCCTCGACGCAGGGAAGGCACGGCGGGGCAGGCGAGCGCGGGGGGGAGGGCAGGGACCTGGGAAGGCCAAAGACAAGGACATGGGAGTGCATGTTGTGGAGACGCGGCAGGGAGGGGTGACCGAGATGGTGGTGCCAGAGGAGAGTCTGGTGGGAGAGTACCCGACACGAGCAAGACGCTGCAAACTGACCAGACGCAGACACCTGACTCGACGTAGCCACCTGACCTGCCTCAGCCACGTGTGCAGACAAAGTGGTCAGTATGTACAGACTAGACCCAGGCCGTCGAGTGAACGTAGCAAGGTGACGGCCAGTCCGTGAGCACGTACAGATCGCCACACGCTGCCCTCCAGGAATAAAGGTATCAACCCAGACATCCTGAATGGCAGCGTTGCTCACCAATTTCGTCGAGAACGTGGGGAGGTGGAGACCTAACAGGGAACCGGAGGGGACTACTAGACATGGGAGGACAGTGGAGGCTCGTGCGACTACTGGGCCCCCAGTGGGGTCAGCCAGTGAGACTGGTACTGGTGCAGTAAGTGGTGTGAGTGTGGTGCAGTTACGAAAGAAGCAACGTGACGTGCCTGAGTCAAGTGTGAAAGTGTGCAAGGCCTCAGCTGAGGCAGGACCTGTGGCGAGAGACCCATGAGCACCTAAAGCTGCAGTAGACTCACTAGCACCTGGAGCAGCAGCAGACTCACTAGCACCTAGAGCGGCAGCAGACTCACTAGCACCTAGTGCGGCAGCAGACTCACTAGCACTTAGTGCAGCAGTCTCGACAGAACCAGTAACACATCGTTGAGGAAACAATTCACTAAGCACCTGCGGGGAGAAGCACCAGTAACAGACCTCTGTGTAGTACGCAGAAAAACAAAGCGTCCACCACTTGGACGGGCTCACTGAAGAACCCACTCGCGAAGCTAGTGAGGGGTGGGGTCGTCCAGGAGAGGCAGTGTCCGCCGCTGTCCACCCCTAGCCGCTGCAACTGCCATGATAGTGGCCATGACAGTTAGTGACGGGCAGAATTAGGTCCAGCACCTCCAGCTCCAGCAGCACCTTCAGTACTCCCAGTCGCATCTCCACCACCACCAGCAGCAGTAGCAGCAGGAGGGCAGCTCGGGCTGGGCGGCGCGGCTCGGCCTGGGCAGTGCTGCTTGGAAAGGCACATCGCAGTAGTAGCAGCGTGTGCAGCAGCAGCGCGCTGGGCAGCAAAGAGACCTGGCGGGTCTTTTTTTTTGTAACTGTACATTTTTTAATATTATTATTTAGGGTTGCGGGGCGCGCTGGCGCACTTAGCAGTGGGGCGCGCTGGCGCGCTTAGCAGCGGGGCGCGCTGGCGCGCTTCGCGGTGGGGCACGCTGGCGTGTTGGGCTACGGGGCGCGCTGGCACGCTGGGCTGTGGGGCGCGCTGGCGCGCTAGGTTGCGGGGCGCGCTGGCGTGCTTAGCAGCGGGGCGCGCTGGCCCGCGGGGTGCGCTGGCCTGCGGGGCGCACTAGCCTGCGGGGCATGCTGGCGCGTTTAGGGCTGTGGGGCGCGCTGGGCTGCGGGGCTGCTCGCGGGCAGAAGGGGCGCGCAGGGCAGGGGCTGCTCGCGGGCAGCATGGGCTGCTCGCGGGCAGCAGTGGCATGTGGGGGGGGGGGGGGGGGGGGGGCTGCTCGTGGGCAGAAGGGGCGCGCAGGGCAGGGGCTGCTCGCGGGCAGTAGTGGCGCGCAGGGCATGGGCTGCTCGCGGGCAGCAGGGGCGTGCGGGGCAGGAGCTGCTCGCGGGCAGCAGGGGCGTGCGTGACAGCAGGGCAGCGCGCTAGGGTAGGCAATGCGAGTAGTTGCAGGGCAGTGTGACACTGTGCGAGAGGGCCGGACAGTGCAAGGGCGCTTCGGGCAGGAACTAGCGGAACGATCGGTGGGCCCTAAAAACCTAACAGGTTTCCTGCTCTGAATACCATGTCAGACTCAACTGTGCAGGAATGATTTGATTAGCAAGAGTTGGGGTACAAGTACTAACCCTAGAAGTGCTGTACCCCATAGGAGTGCCCCACTATAGCCTACAAGTAAGATTGTATTTGGACAAGTGGTGCTGCCCTGGTGGATTCCCAAGGCAGGCAGCACAGGAGCGGATGTGAAGGTGGGTGGTGTGGAGGGAAAGGCATGGAATGCACGTGGGGGTGCGCTAGCCCACTAGAAGCACACAGCATGCAGCACGAGGCAGCAGCAAGAGAAAGAGCACGCTGTGAAGTGCAGAGCAATGCTGGCAGCACCAAGGCAGCAGCAAGACCTCCTTCAAGGGCTTGATTCTGCTGGCGCCGTAGAAGCAAGCACATGTGATATTTATTCATGGAAGTACAGAACAGAAAGTCTCCTATAGCTAGTTGAGTGTGTCTCTCTTAGGTTGCTAGCTCTGTGCCATTTTGTAATATATGCTAGGTGCCATAATGCATATATATTGGCTGTCAAATTCCTAGACAGATGTACATTCTAGCTTCCAGTGCGCACAAACCCTGAATGCATAGTTCAATGGCTGTATATACTATGTAAAAGTCTTTGACCTGCAAATATTCTAAGTGATCCTAATCATTGTATGGATGGATGTTGTTTGTTAGGCCCGCTGGCCTAAATCCGCTAAAGATTAGCGGGGTCGACTAAGTTGAGGATGAAAAGCGGCGGAAGACTTTGGCGAAAGAACTATTGGCGAAATAGGCGAAGAAATTACTGAGTAATTGAAGAAGAGTTGAACGATAATTGGTTTATATTGGTGCATACAAGCAAGGATGATATAGCATGCAAGGTCGAATGTCGGAAAGTACTTCGTGGTACTAGAAAGTAGAAGCAAGAAACGTAGAGTGCCACGTGGCACTAGGAAATCTGAAAAGATAAGGATAAGGATGGGGTTGGGAGTACTGTTCAAAGGGAACAGTAAACACTCCTCTAACACTACCCCCCTCCCAAGGAGGCAACGTCCGTGGCGCCTGCAGACTGAAGGTACGCTTGGAGGCAAGCGTTGTCGGGAGACAGCGAGGACGAAGGATCCCAGCTGTCATCTGCTGCGTCGTAACCACGCCAACGAACCAAGAAGTCGTTGAAAGAGACACCCCCCTGGAGACGGCGACGGTGCCTGAGGATGCGCTGGATCTGGTAGTCGGGCTCGTCGGTCTCAACAGCTACCGGCAGTGGAGTGCGGTCATGGCCTGAGAAGGTGGCGTTGGGATCGGTGTAAGGACGAAGAAGCAACACATGGAATGACGGGTGCATGCGGAAATGAGCGGGAAGGCGGAGGCGGTATGCGACTGGACCAAGTGTGCGCTCAATGACGAATGGACCGATGAAGCGCGGGCAAAGCTTGCTGTCCTGTGGCAGTCGGAGGTTGCGGCTATCCAAGAGAACACGATCGCCGACTGCGAACAACACCTCACGACGACTGCGGTTGGTGGTGCGTGCCAAGCGTGCATTTGTGAGCTCAAGGTGCTTCTTCACGTGATCATGAATGAAGGTGAGATGCTGGTGGAAGTTGTCCGCACGAGGGACAGTGGGTTTGAGATCGACACGAGTGGGGACATTGGGGTGCTGATCGTACAGTGCGAAGAACGGTGACATGCCTGTGGCGGAGTGGTGCGTGTTGTTGTAGGCGAACTCTGCCATGCTCAGCTTCTTGTCCCATGCGGCTGCGTTGTGCATCGCGATGCTGCAAAGAATCTGCTCCAAGGTCTGGTTCATGTTAGAGTAGGTTGATAGGTCGTCTTGCTCACGTGGCCACTTGGGCCAACACTGCTGATATATTCACCAAGGCACTTCCGCCTGGTGATCATCAGCGGTCTTGTACGTTGTTGGGCCTTGTGCCTACGTTTCCACACTTGCTGTAGGCTTTGCTTGTACTGTGATATATGTATATATATTTATATTTATATACATATACCTGCATGCTTGCTCCTACTAGGTAGAGATCACGGTGTTAATGTTACATATATATTTCTGCATGTGAACTGGCCTTGTGGCCTTTTGCTTGTGCTCAGACTGCGTGGTGACGTTGTGATCCACCCTGAGCTTGCTTTGCACTTCCTGCCTGGCCTTGTGACCCTCTGTTCTCCCCCACTTTGCCTATGGGGGTGTGTCAAACATATGTTTGTATGTTATAGTTTAGGTAGGCTTTAGTGGGGTACTCACTGTAGGGTACAACCCCTTATGTTTTACTTTTGTACCAAACTTCTCGATAGTTGCCTGCCTGCCTGCCTGCCTACCTGCCTGCCGCGCCTGCCCTGCCCACGCTGCTGCTGTTACTACTGCCACTACCACTGCTACTCCTGCTACTGGCGGTGGCCAGATGCAGCTCCAGCGACGTCCGCGCGGGTCTCTCACGCCCCAGCAGCTTCGTGAGTGGTACCCTAGTTGGGGTTGTGGCGGTAGCCGTCGTGACTGTCGCCCGGGAGCTGGTCCGTCGGGAGCGTGTGGGAGTGGCCAGCTGCAGCTGCAGCGGCGTCCGTGTGAGACACTTACGCCCCAGAAGCTTCACGAGTGGTACGCTCAGAGTATAGGGTCTTTGAGTACCGTTCACTGCCCGTACATCATTCGCACAGGTGATCGGACTTATCAGGATTGCGGGACGCTTAATCACACACAGTCCCGCTGCTTCGCCCGTCTGAGCGACGCCTGGCGTACCGAGTTTGGCGACGAGGCTGAGCTCCCCGACTGGGTGGAGCTGCTTGGGCGAAGGGTAGATATATTTGCTCTTGACTATGATGCTATTCTTACTGCCATGTATGCATTGCCTACTAGTGCTGACCGTGCCTGTTACCTGTGCGTATCGCCTGACCCAGGTATAGAGCTTGCTGCTCTCGGTGCTGGTGAGGCTGCTGCTCTAGGTGCTGGTGCGTCTCCTGCTCTACGTGCTGGTAAAGCTGCTGCTCTAGGTGCTATTGCATCTCCTGCACCAGGTGCTGGTGAGTCTGCTCTCCCTGGTACTACGCCTGCTGAGGCCTTGTACACCTTCACACTTGACTCCGGTGCTTCCCGCTCCTTCTTTCGCGACAGCACCACCCTCACGCCGCTCAGCCGGCCGGTTCCCATCTCCCAGGCAGACCCCCTCTGGGGGTCCAGTCCTTGCGCACTCATCCACGGTCCTGCCATGTTCGGCGGTCCCGTCTGGCTCCCTGTCAGGTCTTCACCTCACCGCATTTTCTACAAACTTGGTGAGTGGTGCTGACCTCTAGAACTAGTGGGTTGACTAGTTTACTCCTGGAGGTCAGCGCGTGACCCACTGTACGTGCTCCCGGACGGGCCGGCACCTTGCCACGTTTACCCGTGCGCTTGGCTCGCGTCTGTACACACTGACTACTGTGTCCCCTCAGCTCGCAGTGTCTGCGTCTACGTCAGGTCACCCACGCTGCTGCAACTCTCGAGCCAGTAAGTAACGCAGAGCGATGTGCTTCATTCTGTGCTCCAAGCTGTGCTCGAGAAACAAGGCAATGGCGGCCTTGTTGTCGACGTACATTACTGGAGGAGAACGAGGCCGCTCTGCCAGGTCGGTCAGCAGGTAGGTGAGCCAGCGTAACTCCTGTGTGGCCATGGTTGTGGCATAGATCTCAGCCTCACAACTAGAGATGAGAACTGAAGACGAGCGTGTAGAACGCCAAGAAACTGAACCAGAGCCAAGGCTGAAGGTGTAACCCTGTGACGACCGCTGCGTAGCCTGGTCGTCAATCCAAGAAGCGAACGAGTGACAAGTGAGGACAACGTCGCCCTGTCCTCCAAGCACGAGCCCCATGCCCGATGTACTGCACCAGTACCCTCTTAGCAACATCCATATGTACCTTTCCGTGCCGACCAGGAGCCACGTAGCAAGCTAGAAGGCCAAGAGGGTATGCAAGGTCAGGACGAGTGCAGGTCATCAGGTACATGAGGAAGCCAACTAGCTCTGGGTAAGGACCACTCGGCTCTACGGACTCGTCCAAAGGTGGAGCTGAGAGCGAGTGACCTGTAGCCAGAGGAGTGGCCTGTGCCGAGGACCAGGTGAAGCTGAAGCGCTGAAGGACCTGCTGCACCATGTGTGACTGAGTCAGAGTGATGGTGCGGCGTGCTCTGTCCCGGGTCATCTGCAGGCCAAGGTAACTACGCAGCTCACCCAGGTCTGTGCACGTGTGTCTCTTCTGCAGCTCCGACTTCACTAGGGCGAGAGCCTTAGTGACAGCAGTGGCAAAGACCAAGTCGTCAATGTACACGAGGATGTAGAGCGGCGGCAGCAAAGTGTCGGTTTGTAGAAACAGCGACGGGTCAGCACTCAACAGAGTAAACCCAAGAGCCGCAAGTGTCGTCCTCAGTGTGTCGTGCCACTCATGTGGTGCCTGACGGAGACCGTAGACCAGCATGCGAAGGCTCCACTGGGTACCAGGAGTGAAGCCAGGTGGGCGGCGCAGCCAGATCTCCTCTTGCAGGCTGCCCTGCAAGAAAGCTGTGCTGAAGTCAAGAGAGTGAACCTTGTAATCACGCTGAGCGGCAACGTGCAGCAGCACCCGAAGAGTGGTCATCTTCGGGGTGGGGGAGAAGGTCTGAAAGATGTCAACTTCCTCTCGCTGACTGAAGCCTTGAGCAACGTAACGAGCCTTGAAGACATGCGGAGAACCTGGCGGCCACTTCACCCTGAAAATCCACATGCCACTGACGATGTTCGCCCCAGGAGGGGGAAGCTCGTCAACGTATGTGCCAGTGGACTTCCAGGATACCATCTTTGCGTCCATGGCTGACTGCCACTGAGAGGAGTACTCACCCGCCATCGCCTCAGCGTAAGAGCGCGGGGTCGGGATGTCTGGTGCATCCGGGTCTCCCTCAGGGGCAAGCAGCATGGACACGAGATGAGGCGCAGCGGCTGCAAGACACTCAAGGTCCTCGTGCCTGTCCTCTAGGACGTCCGTGCTAATAGCACACTCACCCCCGACGGACGGAGGAGAGACAGACTCAGACTGAGCAACAAGACTAGCAGCATAGTCTAGACAACAGGCAGCAGCAAAGTCAACAAGCTCATCGACTAAGGCAGACGCAACAGCAGACGCAAACGACGGGTCAGTGACAACTGTGGCTAGCAGACGCGTAACAGTAGGGTGAGCAGCACGGGTGCGGTCAGACTCAAGCTCAGGAACGGTAGGTAGAGAAGACGCAGGAGGGGACGGCAGGGGAACACGCGGCGGAGGAGAGGAAGGACGACGGACGACGAGGTGGGTGCCGGAGACAGCCGGGTGACGCAAACGAGGGACACGACGACCGGAACGACCAGAACGGACAGGCGAGACAGGATGCGACGCGGCGCACGACGCTCAGTAAGACCCCCTGTCTGCTCAGTGTAAGGGGAAGGAGCAGGCAGCGGTGAGCCACGCTGTAACGGAAGACCAGTAGACGAAGGGAGACTAAGAACTGGGCGAGGCGCAGAGTCAGACAGTGGCTGAGACGACAGAGACGGTGGAGCAAAGAATAGGCGCGGCTGTGCAGTGCCACTAGCACCAACAGCTCCAGCACCGCCAGCAGCTCCAGAACCCTCAGCGCCAGCTCCTACAGGACCAGCTCCACCAGCAGCTGCACCCCCAGAACCAGCACCTCCAGTCCTTGGGTCTCCAGCCTCAGTGTCTCCAGTAGCAGCACCCCCAAACCCAGAGTCTCCAGCAGTAGCACCTTCAGGCTCAGCACCTCCAGCCCCAGCAGCTCCAGTACCTCCAGTACGAGCACCTCTGGGACCAGGACCACTCCCAACTCCAGTGATGCCAGCAGAAGTACCTCCACCGGCAGAGCTCCTAGCTCCAGAAGCGCGACCCTGACGGCGACCGTACCAGTCGTGCAGCTGCTGTGAGGTGAGAGGCACACGCGAACGAAGGCGTCTACTCCAAGGAGACCGCGCAACAGCAGACTCAGAACCCTCAGCGCCCGCACCGGCAGCATCTCCAGAACCTCCAGCGCCAGCACCCTCAGCAGCTCCTGAACCTCCAGCTCCAGCACCCTCAGCAGCTCCAGAACCTCCAGCAGAAACAACTCCAGTAGCAGAGTCATCAGCTCTAGCGCCTCCCGCAGCAGGGCCCCTAGCTCCAGCAGCGCGACCCTGACAGCCAACGTACCACTCACGCAGCTGCTGTGGGGAGAGAGGGAGTCGACGACGAGAGTGGAGCGGCGAGGCACCAGCGGAGCGACTACGGAGACGGCCACTCCAAGGAGACTGCTCACCAGACGTCTCAGCGCCCGCAGGTGTAGCACCCCCAGACTCCTCACAGTCAGGCTCAGCACCTCCTGGCTCAGCACCCTCAGGCTTAGCAACCCCAGGCTCCGCACCCCCACGCTCATTACCCTCATGCTCAGCGCCCCCAGAAGCAGGACCACTCTCACCAGGACCTGAGTCACCAGTGACCTCAACCGGTGCAGTCAAGTGAGGAGGATCTACCTGAAACACACCTGAAGGAGCAAGACCAGGAGCGGGGAGGTGGTCTACCTGGGGAGCACCTGGAGCGAGGAAGAGCGGGGGGGGGGGGAGGGGCAGTGCGGTAGGGGAAGAGACGGTAAAAGGGAACCGACTCATCGAACGTGACGTCCTAAGAGGAGAAGACACGGCGTGAGGTGGGGTGGTTGTTAGAGACTAAGGACGGAGTCTATGAAGATTAGGTGCCTAAATTTCTCAAAATCGTTGGTCTCTATTTTTGGACAGAATA